CAACGAGAACCAAGAAGTACACACGGTACATATTAATAACTACTGTTTGAATTATTTCTCTAACATCTCACCACCCTTCCCAACCTTAGAACAAATTATAAATCAAAAATTTTATGGATTTTGGCTCTGGTGGCTTTAATAAATGTTGGAGGTAATCTTTTGAAAATACTGATTAGTTTGATACATTTTGTTTCATTATTCGGTTTGTTAGGCACATACGTTTCAGCGTAAATGCTGTAATAACAGCTTTTTATAATTTTATATTTTTGATATTATTATTTCAAAAATTATTTTTCTAAATATCAAATATACTTTGCTTGCTCAACTATCTAAAGTGGCTGAAGGCGTGAGGTCACATAACTTGGTTGAAATTGGTGTGTGAGTACGTGTCCCAGCGTATGCAGGACAATTGTAAGACTGCATACCCGCCCGATTCTTGTTTCATGACCTACATTTCTTAATTGAATCTCACTACCCTAGTTTGCGAACATGGAGACAACTCTTGTAGTCGTTTTGCCTATTGGATTTCAATGAATGAAAGCTGCGAAAATACGTAGCTCTCAGCGTCGTGAGGGTATCAAGACACATGATGCAGAACAAGCAAGAAAAACAATCAAAATAATAAACTTTTGTAGTTGTAAAATTAAACAATAACATACAATTTATACATTTTACTTGCGGAAGTAATCTGACAATGCCCGGGCATTTATTTACCTCACACTCGTATAAAACAAAAAAGTTTGAATTTGATCTTAATAGAATAAAATAGAAGAAAATTTATTTACAAATCGCGACAATAGTTATTTATGGCATTAGTGGTAAAAGTAACACTTTATTTTACGAGCAGGAAACGTTGCGACACGAGGCCGAAGAGGTGAAATCCTATGAGCATAATAAAATAATGTTTACCACATCTGTCACAGCTTTACCGACTTACGTTTTATTTTAATTCTAGTACACAAATCACTTCTGTGATTGAAGCTATTATGTTAAATTACGATCAGTAATAACTGATGTGGCCAGATGAAATTATTTTCTTTGGTGCATTCACCCCGTTTTGATGGAACGTTTTTTAATTTATTGTTTTCTTTTCACACTTTTAGTACTAGTGCTGGAAATTGAACGTTTAGGATGCACTGCAAGCCATTAAAGTAACCGATTTGGGCTAGTGGCTATATATATATATATATATATATATATATATATATAAGAATCATACATTTCATCCGCTACCACAGGATTTGAACGAAAGTTAAATTAGATTTCTTTTGTAATTTCCCAACATTCAGTGTGTGCTAAAGCACATCTTTTCTTGTTTTAATGATATTGTCATCAAGGAGACGAAAAAAAATTGACGTACTGCAATACAAGTAAGTACATTTTACTACGAGTAATACCCAATTTCCGCCAATGACATTTTTGTTTCACTTTCCCAAAATCGCCAATGCCAGTGGCGCAAATAGTGGGGGAGCGTATATAGGTTTAGTGTTCAGCCAACTGAAAGTATAATTACATTTTCATTGCTGAATTGAAAATGTATTTTCATTTTACGCTGTTGATTTAATCTTAAATTGAATTTAGATATTGTACTTTCGATACAACAAAAAATTAGAAAATTTTTTTTATGATTGTTATGTATGTTATTGTGTTGTTATGGATATAGGTTCTGCATATCTTGTTGTACTTGTTTAAGTTTCTAAATATTTTAAATAGTAATAGTAAAACGGTATTAAAACAAACATAAGAAACCATTTTTTCAAAACTTTTGATCATATTCTTTGTCTTTGTAATTGTTATCAAGTCTATTATGTGCAATTATTTGTGTTATGATTATTTTGTATACGGTATATAATAGAAAAAAGTCAAGGAGATCTATGAAGCAAATCGTTTTTAAAAGAGGTCGAGGAAAAAATGTTATAAATCCCAGAGAGAGATGCTATTTCTACGTGTTTTTCCAATATAATTACACTATTTCCACAATTGAAAAATCCATCCTTTTTAACATATTTATAACTCTATAACTTGCCAAATTATTCAAATACGAAAACTCTCCCCGCTAATGCAACTATGTGCCACCCTGTATAATCCACAGCCAGTGCACTCAGATCCAATAACTAACCTTTGCGGCTTCTCCATCAAACATAACCTCATTGTCGACTTCGTAAATGATTCGCATGTGACGTGGCGTGGGTGCATCCATTTTCATTACTGGATTGCACTATGACGTCTGCTAACGCATCAAACAAGTCCCCGAGGTCATGTGTGGAGTAATTAAACTAATATTATATAATGTCACTCGCAGTGATGGATATTACATGATTTTAGAGCGGTGTGTAGAAATGAAACAGAATGTGGATATTTTGATGGTGTAGGAAACGAGGCAGAGCATATTGTTTGGTCAGACAACGGTGAATTAAGAAGAACCCTGATGTGTTTCGTGAATACTGAGAAACGGCAGAGGTAGACCATCTCAGTCATTAATAAGAAACTAACTTCGCAACCCCTTTCATAATAACAAAAGTAGGAGCAGTATTTATTTACTTCATACCGACTGTGGATAATAAAACAATCTGAATAGCTTAACAAAAAATATTTGCATTCAAAAATAGCTTCTGAAGTGACCATGTTCTATATAAATACGTTCCCATCTCATGTCATACGTGACACAATTCACATCAAAGGAATAGTTGATATAACAAGTGTATGAAGTAGGTAATTATTAATTAGGCACTAAAAACACTAAGGTAAGGTAAGGTAAGGTAAGGTAAGGTAAGGTAAGGTAAGGTAAGGTAAGGTATCGGTAAGCAAAAATGCGAACATTAGACACTTAAAATTCTACAATGTAAAATTATAACACTGATCGCGACTTATTATAATCACGGTTAATGTTATCATTGTTATTATGTCCCGTTCATAATATTACCACTCTAAGAAATTATCGTTATTTGTGATCAGAATCTGTTTAATTGACATCAGAATCTGTCATTATTTTAAAACGCATTTCGAGTAAGCAGTTTGAGCTCTCATTGATCGTGACTCGCGAAAGACCAATCTAATACTATTCGCGTAAACAAATCAGGTGCACTCGACCAACGAATTCAATGGAAAACAAATTTTGGGAGTGGTTGACTGTGTATGAAGACATCACTGCATATGCTGGACTGACAAAAGTCGACATATGTAAAAAATCTCAATCATCAACAACGGCTGAAATCAGGCAGGTATTAGAAATATTGGGAAGAGGTGATCAGAACACGACAGTTGATTTCCAGACACTTTGAGTACGAGATCCTCACCATGCTGAACTCATCCCCTTCGGAATCAAAGTGATTAAGACGCAAGATTATTGTCAGTTGTTCATTCTACTAGATAAAACTGGAAACAACTTAAATTATTATTATTATTATTATTATTATTATTATTATTATTATTATTATTATTATTATTATTAAATGTCAATCAACCGTCTTATGATTTTTATACAAGCATGTTAATTAATACAGGTAACATAGAAACAACCATAGTAGCTACGCATTTATGAGTTAAATAGGCATTTACTGGTCAAATAGGAAAAGTGGATTTGGCTTACGATAATACAAATACATCAAAATGGATAAGTAACCTATAACATTGCGTTTTTATACAACATAATCCAATGTCATAGAGGCAAAAATCACAGCTTAATACTTATACTGGTTAATCCTCTATATTTTTTGTGCATTTATTTCCGTGAGTTTTCTACGTTTTTTCTTGCTTTTTTTCTCGGAATCCGTAACCTCATTCAAATAATCACTTTCGTACTTTGTACATGCCGAATTATGTCATATAAGATTAAAGGATAAAGCAAAAGTATTATAGAAGAAATAATACTTCATTCATAAAGTGCAGTTAAAAACTAATATAAGTAAAGAAGTAGATGGATATGTCTCGTAAGATGACGTCATTTAGAAATAAGGCATGGAGGCTTAAAACAAAAAGCTATAGTCAGAGTATTTCACAAAATCTTGACTGTGATTGTCTTGCATATCTCCCACACACGATTTGATACACGAAGGAAAATTAAACTACGTCTCCTAACTTCCATGAAGTACGTATTCCCAAGATTTATGATCAATATTCAGAGATATTGCTCCATGTTACTTATACAATGCCAGCGATTTTAACGTGCCAATAAATCGCCTGCTATTTCGGCTGGCAATAAAAGCAGAGACGTTAAACATTCATGAAGCAAACGTGATATGCCTCCATATGTGGAGACAATGAAACCCATTGTGCTGAAGTGGATATTAAAACGAGATATTGGTGCGGCAGTCCAAAAGCTATTGTATTAAGAGGATTTCTAAATGTTTGAATGTGTAATAAATAATATTAATGATAAACTGGAAGGATATTCTTATCAAAACTATCATTAATGTTTGTCTTTGGATGAAAGCCTACTTTCGTTTGTTCCTAGCAATGATTCCCAACTTTCAATATCAACTCAATTCAGATTCGGGTGGATGATAAATCAAGAGAAGTGATAGCCTGTGTTAATTAAATATTCGGATAGATGAAAATTTGCGATCGAATGTTTTAATCTCGTAATGCCCAATGCCACTATAATTTAAAAAATCAAGAATCTCACTGATTTCGAAACAAATTAATTATACTAAACCAACTGATAAAAGGTATTTATTACCCATTTCCATCCTTCTAGCACCATTTACTATTCAGATTCTACGTTAAAATAAAAATAACGCTTAAACGAAGTAAAATTTACACAAGAAAATGAAAGATAAAAATCAGAAAAAACATTTCTTTCACTAATAAAAATTAAGAAATAATTAAACCACAACAATTAAATTTAATTAAACAAAGACATTAATTAGTACAATTAAAATAAATTTATTGTACTGGTTGATTCTTTCTTAATTCATATTACATAGTACGACAAGGTATCTGATACCACAGACTTTATTAATTTCACCAGTAATTATGGCACCTTAATCATCGAAACTCACCGCTCATTTCCACACGTGACTCGCAAACTTCATTTAACGTACCTGGAACAAAAACACAATTCATGAACAATTTATCCATTTTTTCACTAGGCACATCGCCCTGAACCAAAAGTAACATTGGCTTATGCCTGAGGTGGATCCAGGGTTGGGCCATAGGGACCATGCCTCCACCCCCCCCCCAAAAAAAAGGCACATTTTTGTTTGTAACCTTCCTTTATTTGGAAACATTCATTAAAATATTTATGTTAGAATTATGTAATTATTTAAACATTATATTGTATACTAACATATATACCTAACAAAATAATATAGTACAACTTAATTAAAAAAATCTTTAATATTTAACAAATATATATGATGGAACCCTCCAAAATGATGGGCAAGATCCGCTGTTCCCCTGGTTCATGATGATGGCTTCTTAGCGTAAGAGGAGCAAGTTTAAGTATCCTTTGAGCTTATTAAGCTAGGAAAGTGTCCTTAACAGCTAAACTGTTATTTCTTAACAGTTGACGTTTCGAACTGTTCCTCAAAATAACAGTTATTTCGTGTATCCTGTTATTAGCTGCTATCGGTTGAAATTCTCGTATTGCAATCTATTGGGCGAAATCCCATGATTTTGCGGCAACTATTTTGTACGATGATAAGTTTCACTGCAGTTAATGAATCGTGATTAGCAAGTGTCAAATTATAGATTCATTAATAAATAATTCGTCATTATTATACAACATGTGCCACAATATTTTTATATATTATTGTATACACTACAATATGACGTTTGTCCTTTATATTAAATCCATCAAACATGTTTGTTAACTTCTTTCTGTCCAATTGCTGCCGAGGTGAGGTCCACTAATATTTCCCTAAGTCCTATAAAATAAAATGAGTTATGGTCAAATAATTCGCATTATAATATTTGATATTCAACAGTCATTACCACTTTAGCCGTAGGTAAGCAAATACGCAGTTTCTCCTTGTTATTATTTTTGGCACTCGCCTAATAAAGTGAAAGACATTTGCTAAAGCTCGACAGATCGTACTCAAAGTATCATGTTAATGTTTATTCATGAAATTCATTATTAAGCTTTCATATTTGTTATGAAATCGAAATGCACAAGATTATACGGCAATATACCTACTGATTGCCATTCCAGGAAAGTCCAAACAACGAAACGAATTTCATTCACCAACCTTCATTATCACCATTCTATTTGATTTTCTCTCTTCTCAGAATATCCGTCTGTGTTGCAAAGTGACAGAACGTGACAAGCAACCCAAAAATATTCCACTTCAGTTCAGGCATCCATTCCACAAATTATTCAAGAAATCTTCATCGCCGAAATAGAACCAAAGGAGCAAAGAAAGAGCGCATTATCAGCTCGAACTGGAGGCTGTCGGAACGTCCACTCGAAAGAACGAGTTTCTAAGCGAGTTTTCTTAATCTAAGTTGGCGCTGTATCGACGACGCTCGCACTGCCTCCGTCCCACTAACACGAAGAAGGTAATGAAGGGGAAAAATCCAATTCGGCGAGAGATCGAAAGGGAAGTTAAATAGAGGAAGTGGATGGGATCCTACGCGGAAATTTAAATGGCGCACTGGCGGCTCGAAAGTAGACCTTCCTCAGAGGGTCGCTTGCAGAAAGAACAATTACGAGAAGTTGCGGATTTCGAGTTCATCGGGATTTTGCGTTGTTATTGTGATTACATTAGAAGAGAAAGGATTAAGGGTAGTTTAACTGCAAATTATAATTTTTATAATAATTTATTATTATTATTATTAACAATAATATTATTATTGTTTGCTAACTAAGATCCCGTTAACGGAAAGGACAATCCTGCCAGTTGCATATGTTTGTTCATTCGTTCATTCACAAATGCATTCTTCCGTTACTCATCTGTTACTAATTCAATTACATACGCATTCACAAAAGTATTTATTTTTTTGGGGGGGATGTACCCTTCAAATGCTGACAATCATTTATTTATTCTTCATTCACAAAATTCACTCATTCTTCATTCATTCACAAGGGTATTCTCTGTCTCTCTCAACATCACAGTCTTGTTCAATAATTATTTAATGTTTATATGTCTGTACGTATTATAATAATTTATTCACTCTTGGTTCCCTGTCTATTTTCAATTATAATAGTCTGTTCGGAATATATGGACTAAGACTTTTAAAAATATTAATAATCATGTATTAATTATTTACCAAATCGCTCAGATTATTGCTTATATATTAACCAATTTATCTCCCTAATCATTCTGAGAGTGTTCGTGGAGTGGAGTCCACCACGGCGCCATTTTAAGATTACCTTCAGTTTCTCATTTGATCAAATTATAATTATAATAGTCACTAATTCTTCCACACTGAATGATCCTATGAATTATTATTTTTTTTTTTAAATTCTAGTATTAGGAGGAGTAAAATAATATCCTTGAAACTGTTGCTACGTACAACATAAGCACAGTTATATAATTTTTCCCGTTAGGGCCATCTCTGACTATGCGTGCTTCTTGCGCTATGGACTATGCGTGCTTCTTGCGCTATGGACTATGATGTGTGCTTCTTGCGCTATGGGACATGCGTGCTCTTTGGCGAATGGAACTATGTGTGCTTCTTCGGCGCTAATGGACTAATGCGTGCTTTCTGCGCTATGGACTAAATGCGTGCTTCTTGCGCTTATAGGACTACTGCGTGCTTCTTGCGCTATGGACTTTTTAGCGTGCTTCTGCGCTAATGGACTATGCGTGCTTCTTGCGCTATGGATATGCGTGCTTCTTGCGCTATGGACTATGCGTGCTTCTTGCGCTCATGGGACTATGGTGCCTTCTTGCGCTATGGACTATGCGTGCTTCTTGCGCTATGACTATGGTTGCTTTCTGCGTATGGACTATGTGTCTTTTGCGCTACTTGGGACTATGCGTGCCTTCTTGCGCTTATGGACTAAATGCGTGCTTCTTGCGCTATGGACTATGTGTGTTCTTGCGCTATGGGACTATGGCGTGCTTCTATGCGCTTAGATATTGGGACTTATCGCTTACTTGTCGCTTCTGCGCTTATGGACAGCGTGCTTCTTGCGCTAATGGACTATGTTGCTTCTTGCGTATTGACTATGCGTGCTTCTTGGCTATAGGACTATTGCGTGCTTCTTTTGCGCTATGGACTATGCGGCTTCTGCGCTATGGCCCTATGTGTGCGACTTCAGCAGATGCTAGTAGCTTCGTCTTGGGAGGGCTCAGCATTTTAGCTGAATCCCTTTTGTTATTCCCCAGGGTTGTTAGCCCTGGAGGTACGGACGATGAGATGATGATGATGGATGACAATGATGATAGTGAAGGATAAAAGGACGGCATACATATATAGACGTACAGAAATATACCCATGCCCGAGGCGGGACTCGAACCCACGATATTCTGATCCATCACCGCTACGACACTACTGCCCTAACGATCTCGGCCACCTTGACAGGCGATTACTTGAATGATTTATTTATTTCTAATA